AATAACAGAATGATTCACATGACCCAGACGAGCATGCCATAAATCATATGAAGCACGTAAAGATTTGTTTTTAAGGGCTGAAATAAAAGCAGAGTTGCCGCGCTCCAGCACATATAGCCCTCCATCTCTTTTACCGGTTGCCACCACCCTTCCTGTTTGATGATTCTGGATAGTAATAAGATTATTAGTAAATGTAACGGAGAGAGGAAAATCAGACGTTAATTTACTTATGGAAAGAAGAATCCTCTTGAATTCTCGTGATACCTTAACTCTTGGTCACAAATGCTGAAACCCCCTAGTCAAGATGATTTTATCTCAAATGATTGCTACTTGGGAATTATATCTAATGACAGTATTGAAGAATAAAACTTTTCCAATCTCGAGTAAAAATCCAAAAAAGGGATCCATTATAATCCTCTGTAAGTTGGATTAATGGATCGTCTAATTCGAAATGATAACAAAATGCATAGGTTGTTAAAAGAAGCTCGAGTACACAGATACATATCGTATACCATCTCATTACTTTATTTCCTCTATGAGAGAAAAAGAAAAGTAGCAAATATTGAAAAAATCTAAATGTACAAGAACTTCAAAAACAATAAGGCATCGTCTCGAGGGAAAATAAGATTTGGATTATAATATTAATCAAATATCTCAACCGAAAGAAACTCATTTAAGATTTAAATCAGTCCACGAGCAATATTGATCATATCAAGTTTAAATGATTCTCAGCATTCGACTTAAACTATATAAGACTACAAACAAACTTAGCATTAGACTTCATTTAGCTAAGAGAAAGTCTAAATGTTCTTTTCAAATCTAGTAGCGTTTACAACTCGTAGAGCGACTCTTACAAACCAACTCCTCCCTATCCTCCCTATGGCTTTCAATTGACTTGGGTGACTCCTAGTCAGCTCAGTTCTTTTAGCCCAATTTGATCTAATTGACCATTATGGACCGTTTTGGAGCAATTTTTGACGTAATTAAATAAAGGCATTTAAGGTTAGTTGTTTATGATTAGTTGGAGGATTAGGTGAAGTTAGTTTCTTAAATATGTTATAAGTTCGGTGTCATGGAAGGCCATGACAGAATTGTTGGGTTTTATGTCCTAAAATTCATAATTTGTAAACAAAAACATATTCTATTTTCAATAAAGTAAAGATTATTATTGAATAAAGTGAACTTTACGATCATTAATCTAAATCCAATAAACTAAGAACACTCTGGCTATAGTATGAATACTTAAACTATATGTAGAGACATAAGAGTTGATCAAGTTCAAGTATATAATCAAAATGATCTATAGTATAAGGATAAGGCTGAGTACCTTATTTTGGGGCACTATGGATGCGACCCACTTTTGTATATGATATAAACAATATGATCACTAAAATTGTACCTGTGGAGACATGTGAGTGGGGGCGTCCTATACAATAAGTATTGCATATGATTAGACCATGAAGAAAATCACTCTCACTTTATAATGTCGTTTACGGTTGAGATTGATTTTCTTTTCATTCGATGACCTAGGTTACTCGATCTTAATCCTGAGCTAACCATGAACTCCTGTTTTTTCGAACTTATCCTTAGTTTGCATGGGTGAGAGTGGCTCAAGTTCGCCGACTCAATAGGCCTCCAATTTCAGGGGTAAGACTGGGTAAATGGCTGGGGACGTGAGGTGCAAGATGATATTCACTCTTACCCACTTTTAGGGATAGAAGAGACGTAGTTCCCTTAAGTACTGACTTCAGGTCTTGAATAAGGGGCCACAACCTCTCATTGGCCTGAGAGGGATTCGGTTTACTGGTTGGACCACAAACCAATTGTTCATTAGAGAATCAGTGAGACATAAGAAACAAGAAGTAACTTTAGGGGTAAAACGGTAAATTGACCCAGCTCTAGTTACAAACAACCTGTGAAGGATCGACTTACTAATCATGGTTATATCAAATGAATAGAAATATATCTATAGTGAAGGGAGTGCAACTACTAGGCTATAATGGAATGTCCTAGTAGTTAACGAATGTTGGTTAACAAGGTTAATGAGTTTAACCGGTTAATCTTGGATCGTTGGAGCCCATGATCTATAGGTCCATTAGGTTCCTCTGCTAGCTCATATCGAACTAAATCATAGAACAGTGTGACGAGTGAGTTCGAAGTGTTCAAATTCAAATTAGGGAGAATGCACTACATATATACGATTTATTTAACCGCATTTTTGTTTTATTTACGAATTAAACAAAAAGAGAGAATCTGAGATATTTAAATAAGATTTAAATATTTTAATCAAATATGGGTCGAAATTAATTGAGATTGACATTTAAATTAATATTAAATATTAATTAAATAATTTAATTAATCATTTAATATTACTTTAATTTGAAATTAATAATTCAAATTGATTGTTGAATCAAAATGAAGAAAGTCAAAACGTTGACTTCATCTCATGGAAAAATCCATATTAATGAAATTTCGAGGTGTCAAAATTTGGGTTAACCAAACTTGCATGCTTGCCAAATAAACCCCACAAATTTGAGTGGAATTTTGAGTGTCAAAATTTGGTTAACTCAAACATGCATGCTTGCCACATAATCCCAAACATTTGAGTGGAATTGTGAGTGTCAAAATTTGGTGATCTCAAATTTGCATGAACACGCAAACATGACTCTATAAATAGAGCGATCATAATGCATGAAAGGTCTCATTGTCGGTGAAAAACCTTGAGAAAAATCTCTCACAAACACTCTCTTCATATATACAAAAACCCTCCTAAGTTTAGTCACTCACCGGATTCCACAATCCCGTTCTAAGGCCGGAGGATAGTGGAAAAGACACTAGTGGTGGTTCGAAACCGGTTCGTGAGGAAAAAGAAATTTGAACTACAAAAGGTCAGTATTCAAACTCATTAAGTTTTAATACTTATGAACATGCTAGTTATTTACCATAATTGATGTTCTAAAAGTGCCTAAGATCCAAATTGCTTCCGCATGTGTTATATTAACACCATCAAGAATTTGACCACAAGTAAGATTAAGCTACTATCGACTAAGAAAAATTAGTAACATCAATTAAGGTCAGCACTATTAGTAGACTTACTATTGGAATGCCTACGAGTTAGATTGGATGAATTGAATAAATTGAATGAAGCATGAATATCATGTAACCGGTGACCTTTTCTGTGTTATATTATTCAATGTTATGATGTTCTAACATTTTTCGTAAGACATGTACTTCCTAATTTTAATTAGGTTTATTATATTACTATGATTACGCGTGCCTTATGAGATACTATGACACATCATTTATTACGAACAAGTATGAAATACTATGAACATGTAAGCACATCTCATGGAAAATTCATGTTCCGAAAAGTATGGAGTATTGTGCACTTTTACTATTCCATAATTTTAAGTATAAGACCTCGGACATGAATTTTTCTCCCATGTATTTCAATGCATCATTTATATATATATATATATTATTTTTTTTTGTTGTAAAAAAGCTTTTTTAATATTTATGGTACGTATATAATTTTTTATAGGTAAAGACGATGGTCTAATTATAACTCCTTCAACCTTTTTTCGAATTATATAATTTTGTAATATACTTATCTAATTTTATATAATTTACTTTTTGATTCTTTTACTCTTACCCTAAACATTTACTAGTTTATATAATTTTATGAAATTCTTTTGTTTAAAATAAGATTTATTATTAAATAATTTCAATTCAAGGTGCTTAACTAAAATTAAATTTTATTTAAAATTTTGACAATAATTTAATAATAGTCCATCATAGGTAACAAAATTATTGAAAATATTTTATTTATATTCTTATGGAGTTATTTGATTTTCAAACATTTTTTTCGAAATATTTTTATTTATTTCTATTGGAAATATTTATTAATAAATTTATTTTGATTACAAACATAATTGCAAACTTTAATTGATTAATAAATTTATTTTGATTACAAAAATAAATATTTATTAATAAATTCATTCCATTGGAAATATTTATTAATAAATTTATTTTGATTACAAACATAATTGCAAACTTTAATTGAAAATAAAAAATACTTTTTTAATATATTTTGATTACCAATTATTATTATTATTATTATTTCGTAAAATTCACAAAAAATTTGACTTTTATTTCAAACTTGGATAATAAAAAAAATAAAAGTATTGAGTTTATTTATTTCTTTTTATTATTATTAATTTTTTTTTTTTTAAATCGAGACATGGGTTTTTATTTTTTTAAATAAATCGTGAGATGGGTAAAGTTGATAGATAATCACAATTTACAAGAAAAAATTAGTGGATATTTTTAAACCTTCCAAGTATATACTAAATTAATAAAAATAATAAAAAATATTTTTAAAGTTTCAATAATAGTTTTTTAAAAAAATACTGATATTTTGTTTCAAATAATACCTATTAAATTTAAAATTAATTTTAAACGTACATTTTTAACTTTTTAAAAAAGTTAAAAAATATCATTACCATGTGTACTAAATAGTTCACATGAAATTTTAAAAAAGTATTATTTTTAGTGTTATTTTTGAAAGTTTATAAATATTTTTGAAAAGTCATAATAAGAGTACTGTTGAATTTTTAAAAAAAATTAAAAATATTTTAAAAGTTTTTAATGGTATTTTAAAAGTTTTTACCAAATTTGAAAGTATTAAAATGAAACCATTAAAATAAAATGGAAAAGTATTTTTGAAACCATTTTGATAATTTAAAGGGTATTTTTTAAACCACTAATAGGAAAATTATTATTTTTTTAAAACTTAAATATATTTTTTGATATTTTCTTTTGAAAATTTAAGGGTGATATTCAAACGTTTTAAAAATTTATGAATAAAGGATTTTTTGTATTAATTTAAGTATAATAAATTAATATACATTTAAATTGAAAAGTATAAAAAGGAGGAATTTTTAAATTAATAGGTATATTTGTAAAATTTGCCATCTACCTTCATCTTTAGGGCTGGTCTTTAGGCTAACAACTGTAGCGAGCACTCGAAAAATTACGCAGACACAGAGAAAATATTGTAGCTGCCGGGTCACGATTTGTCGAGGTCTCGGTTTTGAAACTGAATTACGCCGGCGTGAGTCTCGGTGTAGAAGGCTGGAAACGCCGTGGGTCTTGGTCTTCCCGGTAGCATCAGACGGCTGTTGTAGCTGTGTTTCGCGGTGGTTTCCGATTCGTTACGAGTGGTTTAGCTTGTGAGGTGATTTCACAGTTGATATTCGTTTCAAGCTCAAATCGGTCAAGGTATGAGATATCTTTGTTTTTGTTGGTGCGATTCAGTCCATACATATTGGGGGCTGACTTATTCCTGCGTAACTATGTTTTTGGTGACTTGATGCTCTTAATAAAGGTCCCTTAAGCTGGTTTTCAAGTGGATGTAGATCGAAGGGTTGACCACTATATATATTGGTGTTTTTTTTTTTTTTCCCTGTTGCTCTGAATATTTATCGCTGCAAATTGCGTAATGTTACGGGCTTTTAGGGTTCGTTTTTTTTACAGGAACTTTTCGTATTATCAGTGAAAACTTTTGATTCTTTGTCAAAATAAGATATTGCATAGTGAAGGCGAAATTAATGAATTGATATACTCCCCGAATATATTCCCTATAATGGCAAACCTTTGTTATTGGTATAGACGTTCTGGCAACGAGCATTTATCCCTGAAATTACTTACTTTTATTCCCCATTGTGTTTCACAATACTAATTCTTTTCCTTCTTAAGTTTATAACTTTTCCTCTGTCATACTCTTGAGTCTTAAATCAAGGTCTCTAACCCAAGATTTTGTTTTGTGTTATTTTCCAGATTGAACGGTGGCAATGGATCAAGACTATGAAGAAGAGGTAAAGACGTTTCAGAGCTTGGGGATATGTGAGCAATTGGTTGAGGCATGCGAGAGTTTGGGCTGGAAAAACCCGTCTAAGATTCAGGTCGAGGCTATTCCTCATGCCCTAGAAGGTTCTTTCCTTAGCTCATGCTTTTACGTATTCATTTCCTCTATTCAAATATTTTTTTTTGATTCAACCAATGCCATAGTTAATTTTTTTTTTAACTGCTTTTGATTTTGGAGTTGCATGAAAGTTTCACATTTTTCTATATAAAAATTAGGTTGGTATGTTGGATGGCTCTGGTTATTTTTGCGGGATAGCATATTTTGGCCAACTGCTGCCTATTCGCTTTGCACCTTATAGTTTTTAGATCAGGAGACAGTACAATCACCTATATGTTGGGTCTCACTTTTTTAAGGATCAATAAGGCCCCTAGTATTATTATTATTATTATTATTTTTGTTGTAGTTTCCTTTGACCAATATGTTTGTATTATTAAATTTCTTAACTTACTCAAGTAGAATTATTGCTTCTTGGCCTCTTACTCGCAAAACTAAGTAAATTGATCAAATCAATGGTTAAATGTAGAGTGCTAGTATGGTCTATTCAGCATGCTGTTGTCATATTTTTATCAGATGTTATCGATGGGATGAATGCGTGTTAGATTAGTCGATTAAATGTAGACTCGGTTTGCAGTAAACTTAGGTTACTCCGTTTAGGCTTGTTACTCTTAGGCAGTGGATTCTGTTTATTACTTATGCATGGTCATCTATGCAATGATGATAAAATTTCTATGAAAAGCTTTGACACCCAAGTAAAGGAGGGGTACATGAATTAACGAGACCACATCTGAATGAGAGTGATTCTAAGGATATGAGGACTAAAAAAAGCTTAAAAAATTTTAATGTTACTATCGATACCAACAAGGTGCACTTTCCTTTTCGGTGGCTCAATCATAGGAGCTCCATAGTTAAGCATGTTTTGCTTGGAGTAATTCTATACTGGATGACCTCTTGTGAATTTTCTTAGAATGCATGTGAGTGAGGACAAAACATACTTGAAGGACTTGTGTTGGTTTGTAGGGATAGTTTTTGCTTTTAGAAGCGAGGAGTAAGTAATGTGACCATGTCGCAGGGTATGTTGAGGCCATCAGGTGCCGAATCCTGATTTCGAATCTTGTGTATGGGTTGTTAGAAATGGTTTCAGAGTGGTACCTCTTCCAGTAAGATGTGGTTCGGGGATGAACCAAGGCAGAAGCTAGTGGGCATGTGACACCCCAGTAAAGGAGGAGTACATGAATGAATCGAGACCACATCCGAATGAGAGTGAACTTGAGGATAGGATGACTAATAAAGACTTAAAAGAATTGAAAGTTACTACCTATACCAACAAGGTGTTTTGATACGAAATTAGATGCCTTAATCATGCCATGGATGATTTAGATTTAAGAAATTTTTATTGTATTTTTTAAGTTCTAGAGAATTGTCTTTAAATTATAAGTTACAATTTGTTGGTGGCCATTATGGTATTGATGGCCATGAAAATTACAACCTTTCAATTAACCATAGGTTTTTATTAGGTTTATTTTCAAGGTGTTAGTGCTGTAGTAGGAAGATTTTGGATATTATAATGAAAGTTGCATATTATGCTTATTAAGCTATGAGCTTGTTCCTTTACATTTATTGTGTTTAGATTTACATGCTAGAGTCATTCAAGTAGTCTTCATCAAACTATCTTGTAGAGTGATTCGAATCACGAGTTTAGAAACGAGTTTTCTTTACTCTTGATCTTGATCATCAAGGTAATCTGTTCCAAAACTTTTCCTTAGGTTGAATCCATAACATTTGGTATTATTGGTTTAGGTTCTAGGTCGGATATGTTTCTGTTGTTGTTTGTTTCTTATTTTTCATTAGGTTATGGAATCAACCCAAGGGAAAGTTTTGGAACGGATTACCTTGATGATCGAATCAAGAATAAAGAAAACTCATTTCTAAACTCATGATTCGAATCACTCCACAAGATAGTTTGATAAAGACTACTTGAATGACTCTAGCATGCAAATCTAAACACAAGAAAGGTAAAGGAACAAACTCATGGCTTAAGAAGCATAATATGCAACTTTCATTATAATATCCAAAATCTTCATACTAAAGCAATAATATGAATGATTATTTATAGCCTTGAAAATAAACCTTATAATAACCTTTGGTTAATTGAAAGGTTGTAACTTTCATGGTCATCAATGCCATAATGGCCACTAACGAATTGTAACTTATAATTTAAAGACAATTCTCTAAAACTTAAAAAATACAATAAAACCTTTTAAATCTAAATCATCCATGGCATGATTAAGACATCGTATCATGTTCATTCCTTTTCGGTGGCTCAATCATAGGATCTCCATAGTTAAACGTGTTTTTCTTGGAGAAATTCTATATTGGGTGATTTCTTGTGATTTTAACTAGGATGCATGTGAGTAAGGACAAAACATATTGGAAGACTCGTGTTGGTTTGTGGGGATAGTCTTCACTCTTAGAATCGGTGAGTAAGTTACGTGACCATGTTGTAGGAGAATGCTGGGGCCATTAGATACCGAATCGGGATTCCAAATCTTGATATGAATCTTGGGTAAGGGTCGGTAAAGAAGTTGTTGAGACATTTATTATCAAAATTAACTACAACAGACGTAGATTGACTACCTTATTGGTTCTTGTTTTGCAAAACGTGTAATCTGTCCATAGATATTCTTCAGGGGTAGAAAGATTGGCGATGGTGAATGTAATTTCTTATTATGAGATTGCACTTTGAAGCTTGGCACAATGGATATCTTCTAATAAATTTTCCCTATGCTAAGAAGCATAGATGCATCAAAGCCCACCATGATGTTGTAGGTTTGGATCTCCACCTGCACATGTGATGTAGGTGTAAATAGAAAATGAAAGCACAAAGGTAGACATGTGACTGCACATGACATGATGATAGGATATGGATATTTTGACACATCAATTTTCAGAGAATTTTAGAATGTAGGTCAAATATTTATCTGTGGTGCCCCTTCATCTCTTTTTCTTTCTTTCTTTTGCTATTCTTTCGTTGCAACTTATGTGTGTGGTATTGATTATGTTTAACCTTATGACCATTGTAATGCAGGAAAGGATTTAATTGGACTTGCACAGACTGGTTCTGGGAAAACTGGAGCTTTTGCCCTTCCCATTTTGCAAGCCCTTTTGGATGCTCCTCAAGCATTTTTTGCCTGTGTGCTCTCTCCCACAAGGTTTGATACCGAATTGTAGTAGATTATGTACACACACTCTTTATCTTTGAAAAGGAGAGAAGTAATCTTTTGGAAAGATTTTAGCATGTCTATAAACTTAAAATATTCTGTTGCTTTTGTTATCTTCAGGGAGCTTGCAATTCAGATAGCCGAGCAGTTTGAAGCTTTAGGGTCTGGCATTGGTATCAAGTGTGCAGTGGTAAGCTTTCAGTAGTATACTGAGGATAAATGCAGGGTACAAATCATGAGGATATAAAATTACTATGTTATTTTATTAAACTATATATTATGTTAATAAAAAATATTTATATAAAATTTCTATGTTTTAAAAGTTAAATAATTAAAAATCTAAGTAATTTCTGCACATAATCATCCAGTTCATGAATAATTCTTAATATGTTATAAATGCATTGGCTATTGAATATTATCCAAACCCTTAGTATCCTCATAAAATAAAATAAAATAAAAAAGAAGAAAAGAAAGAGAGAGAGATAAAAAGAAATCCGAACCCTATATTAAATTTGTAGGAGGATATAGGGAAACATAAACCAATATTTCCTTTATGCCTTTGTGATGCGGAAGAAGACTTGCACAATGCTACTTATCAGGACTAGTCAGCTACAGTTTACAACCTCAGCCCTTGTGGATAATTGTTATGCTATCTAAGGGGAGGTGGTTTGTTCGAGAAAGGATTAATGTATGGGAGTTTGTTATAGGAAGCTTGCTTCTTGGTCTCTAGTTGGCATTGGAGGCTTACAGTTGTGATTAGAAAGTAGAAAGAGAGATTAGAGGTAATAGAGATCAGGTTGTATGAACTGATTGGGGTCTACAGACGGAGTGTGGCTCCTGTACGGGACTGCATTGTATTTTCTCCGGGTACTTTTTGCTGAATATAAAATCAAGTTGAAACTTCACTTCAAAGACCTGGTTTTGTGACATAGATACCTACCAACATTGAGGGAGACTAAGGTTAAGAAAGGGCTTAACAAAAAAATTCTGGAGGATGTGAGGTCTCCTATTTTTCTTTTCTTGTTATTATTTTCCTCTTTATGTTTTTTGTGCTTCGAGATTTAGTAAACATGGAGCCGTCTTGGTGATAAGTATTTTATGTTAATCTTCTGTAGCTTGTTGGAGGGGTAGACATGGTGCAGCAAGCCATTAACTTGGCAAAACGGCCTCATATTGTTGTAAGTCTCTGATATTTTCTGCTTTCTTGAACTTGAATGTGATGGTCCATGTGAAAATTCATGTCCTCTTCGGGACATTATCCTTTTGTTCTTGTGGATTAAATGAAAAAGTGATTTAGCCTCCGAGAAAGAATTTTATCATAACCCTCCCCATGCAAAATTATGCTGAGTATTTATATGAAAAATCTATCAGTAAATAGGAAATACAGTTAGTTAAAACAGATGTCCAAGTTAAATAAAGTTACTGCTGCCATATTACTTCTGTGGTGAGTAGTTTAACTTAAAACTACCACACATCATAAAGCATCTACAATTGTATGATTTTCATAAAGTACTTTTGTCGAATCATCATTCTATACACTATTTTCTTTTGCCTATTTGTAATTAGTTTGAGAATTCTAATGTTGTCGTGGTTTCTGTTGCTGCTTATTTATTCAGCAGTTTATTTAAAATTTCATTTATTTTGTTTTAGGTTGGGACGCCGGGACGTCTTGTGGACCATCTAACTAATACGAAGGGTTTTTCCCTGCGCACATTGAAGTATTTGGTGAGTTCTGTGAAAAATTACATTTGAGAGACAATAAACTTTCATTTAAATTAAATTGTTTACTTTGTTTAGTAATAAACCTGTACTGACTAGCCTGTTTTGCATGTCGAACAGGTCTTTGATGAGGCAGATCGGTTATTGAATGAAGACTTCCAAAAATCAATAGATGAAATTTTGAATGAAATTCCTCGTGAGAGGAAAACATATTTATTTTCTGCTACTATGACAAAAAAGGTAAATATGGAAACATTTGATTTGATTTGTTTTTGTTTTTGTTTTTTGTTTTTTCAGTCTTTTTTAGTTTTTTCTTTTCCCGGAGAACAAAATTTTGTCGGGAACTAGGAATTAATTAAAAAAATTCTAAAGAAAAGATTATCATGCTGCCTCTGTTGTATCTTATGCAATGCGATATGTGGGCATGGGAGATGCCAAGTGTTACAATCGCACTTTTCAAGAACTCAGAAAGCAATTGTGAGGCATTTACTCACGCCCTTGAGCAAGCTAGCTAACTTATCTTCCAAGACACCGGTTGGCACAACTGGCCTATCTTGCAACCTCAACCCCTCAAATGGCTCCAGAAAATGGGATTGAGTATAAGGTTTTTGAAATCACTGGAAAACATTTGAGAAAACATTTATTGTTGGCTAGAAAAATATATAAGATAAACAACACGACTTGCCTAGCATACGACCAAGGTAGTAAGGATTGACAACTATTCTTACCCTTTTATAGTACATGTTGAGGCATAGTTAATGTGTCACCCTTGCACATGCAAAGTGGCAAGGAACCACACAATTAACGTGCAAAACGGAGTAAGATGAAAGCATGATATTCAATATGCAATTTTATAAGTAGGCATGGGAGATGCAAAGCACCGTTTTTGAGTGATGTGTGGTGATGTGCCTTAGGGTTTCTAATTTTAAAGAAATAAGAAAAAAGTACAATAAAAGACTATACATTTACAATTTTATAAAGCTTCTGCACTTTAGTTGTCCAATATCTCATCATCTATTGCCATATATAGTTTTTGTGTATTTATTTTGGTTTTGATTTTTTCTCGTGTTCCTCACAAAAAAGCCATTAAGTGCTTCATATCCTTAACAAAAATCAAATATCAGTATTAAATTGTTTCTTCTGGATGCATAGAAGTGGGACGTTGTATCATATCTGAATAAGTAGTTTCTGAACACTGGTAGATTTTATTTTGGGGTTTTGTATTGGTTTAAATCACTGACCAAGTTGAGATAATTCTACAGGTTCGGAAACTTCAAAGGGCAAGCTTAAGAAATCCTGTTAAGGTATGATTGTGATGGTCTAAAATCTTTTCATTTCCTGAGTTTGTTCAAATATTAATTTTTCTTAGTCTTGACTTCTTTCAGATTGAAGCGGCAACCAAATATTCCACAGTAGACACATTGAAGCAGCAATATTGTTTCATCCCTGCGAAGTATAAGGTTTTCCTACTTCTTGGTTTATCATTTTTTTGTTTATGTCAGTCTAATTTTGTTGATTTTGATGATGGTTCCCTCTACAAGTACAACGACAATGAAAAAAGCAAAAAAAGAGAAGGAAAGGGCTATATGTTTCTGTCTTTTTTAGGGGAATACATTTTTAGTTACCGGGGAGGAGAGGGATTGACGTTTAAACTTTTGAAGGGAATCAAACTTATTTTACTGTTGGACTTACTTCGTTACATGTCATTTTGTACAGGAGTGTTATCTTGTTTATATCTTAACTGAGATGTCTGGTTCAACATCAATGGTCTTCACTCGCACTTGTGACGCTACTCGGCTTCTAGCATTGATTCTTCGAAATCTTGGGTTAAGAGCCATACCCATAAGTGGTCAGATGACCCAGGTATAATTCAGTGGTTTACAATTCTTTTCTCTGGTTATAAAATATTTTGAAAGTTGAAATTGGAAGCCGGTTATATACATCATTTATCAACCAAGTTATCTTATAAAAAAAATTCGGTAGTTGGGGAAACCCTTATTTTTCTTTGGCTTCATCATTTTGTGGGATTATTCAATTAAACTCTCTGCATGGACCATGTCTTGACAGGCAAAGAGATTAGGAGCCTTAAATAAGTTCAAGGCCGGAGAGTGCAATGTTCTTATATGCACTGATGTGGCTAGTAGAGGACTTGATATTCCATCTGTGGATATGGTCATAAATTATGATATTCCTTCAAATTCCAAGGTTCTCCTTCTGCAATCCTATTTGTTCAGGTTTACATGCATCATTGTGGCTTCTATGCATTCTGCTGTTTTCGTTAACTTCTGTATGATGCATCTTTCTTTTTCTTATATTCCAATTCAAGAACTATATGCTCGATAGTTTCTTATTCAGGAGTTGTTTTCGGGCTTTAACCCTTCCTTTATCCTCAGGAGTTCTAGTCTGTATAGCTTTCTTTCTAGAGTTTAGAAAGAGAAAACTGCTTTCTTGTTTTCTGTGTCGAAGTTGAAAATACTTCTATATTCTCATGGTTTAGAGTATCCTCATTTTTTTTTTTTGAAGGTGCAATATTCTCCCTTCTCATTTAGGTTAAGTTGCCGTTATAGTCCCTGAACTTTGAAGTTCGTGACAATTTGGTCTCGAAACTTTCATAATTACAAATTTAGTCCCCAAGTTTTCAAAATTTTTAAAGCTTATAGATACAAAGAAAAATTAAGATTTCACCGTATATGAAATTCAAATTAATATCAAATTTGTTTGGAGAATATTACATAATTGAAGGTTCTTAGACTTAATTAGACTCAAATTGAAAATGTAAGGATTTTTTAGACATTTTTGATAGTTCAAAGATCAAATAAATGGACGGTTCGAAGTTGAGGGACTAAATAAGCCGGAGTAATTTAAGTTGTTTAGTACAGGCTGATCAGGTTATTCATTACAGGTTGATCAGTCAGTGATGGGGGGGGGGG